CAGGGTGTTGTGTTTTTTTTTTAAATCTTCTGCCTTTAATATATTTAACATTTCCCCCTCACATTTGAAGCAATGTGTAGTGTTACCAGAAGGACTTTCTCTTACTTGTATCTCATCACTGCATCTCTTTAATTACTGATGTAGATAAAGCTGCCTATTCAATATTTTGAGATGTCAAAGGTATAGTGCCCTATATAGTTTTTAATGTAGTCAGTCTATAAAAGCTTATAGCAAAGGAAGAGGGCATTATTCATTAAACCTAGTTATACTTGAGATAATTGGTGGATAAAATGATAAACTTGTTTTTAAAAATCTTCCTAAGAATTTACATAGTGATTAGCTGCTGAAATTCATATAATGTTAGTACTGAGAAACCTTTGAGCTCATCACATTCAACTTTCTCATTTTCTCATTTGCCAGTAAGGAAACTGTGGCCCAGAGAAGTTTCACTATGACTGATTTGCTCAGGGTTCTATTCAGTTTCAGATGTCCTGCTTCCCTGTTCTCTTCCTAGTGCATGATGCTGCCACTAATTCTTTTTGTTTGTTGGTTGGTTTAGAGTAATGACTTCATGTTTTCTTAATAAAATTAGTACCTACTCATCCTTAAATAACTTACTTAGATTTTACAGAAAAGAATAAGAAAAAACAACTAACCACCTGAAATTCTTTCATCCAGAAAAATACCAGTGTTAACATTTGGTTTTCGACTTTTCTCCATACATACATAGAAATAGAAAGATAGACGAGTGAATAGGCAGATACCATTTCATAAGAACAGAATCATAGTACAGTATGCATCTTATTTTTAATTTAAAAAATAAAGTATTAAATTTAATTTTACTTTAATGGAAGAAAAATAAAAACAAAAGAATTACTAAGCCTCAAATAAAAATATCTGTGATGAAGAGATATGAATATGAGTTCCTAAAAGTTCTTCTGTGGTTAAGTAATGATTGTTACTTAAATTCCTTGAGTTGAGACCCTTGCTTTTCCTTTAACTTGCATGTAACAATGTTATATGTAATATTTGATTGATTCTCACATATATATATATATGTTAGAATTAATACCCTATATATATAGATTATTACATATAGAATTTATATGTACAGAACATGGGTTCTTAATCTGAGATGCATGATGGACTTCAGAGAATCTGTAACTCCCCCACCTGAAACTGTATGAAAAATTGGGTATAGACAATAGATGCCTTCTAATTGATATTGTCAGGACTGGTAGTTAATAATAAAAAATATTAAAGCAGGAAGTTTTTAAAAAATGATATGTATTTAAATTTTTATTTTATTTCAAATTAAAACATAAATTAGTGTTTGATTTTTTTTCTTTTTTTTCTTATGAAGTAGGGCTTTTCTGTGAGCATGGGCCTTCTAGTTGCAGATCCATAGCATTTTTCTTATAGTTCGCTGTATCTGTAATATGTCTTGTACTGTTTTCAGTTTGGGTTTCTTTAAAGTAGAATGAACACTTAAAAACATTTTTAAATGATACGAGTGCAGAATCCTCTTAGATTTTTATTATTTCTCCCAGCCTTTTACTGTTGTCTTTCCCACCACTAATTTAACTGTAGTTATTTTGTTAGTAATTCACTTTTGAGTCTTTCCAAAGCATTTAATTTTCCTAGACACAATTCTCTTTATACTCGTATTTCATCCTATTATGTTACATTTAAATTGTTTAATTATAGTGAAACTGATGTACAGACTTGGAAACAAATACAGCTTATTGTTGGCCAGCAGGCAAATCACTTGTGAAAGACAGTACTCAATTGAGTGTATTGGAGAGTACTCAGTGGCAATGAATATTTAGCATTCCATGAACATCATTTCTTGTAAAAATTTAAAACATCTTCAGTTAATCAGACAAGTCTCTTTGTTATGTGGGAACCTACTGTATGTGTAGTATTTTTCTGAAGGAAAGGGCTCATACCTTTGAAGAGATTATTCAAGGGGTCTGTGAGGTAAAAAAAGGTTACAAAATGATAGTTCAGAAAGTCCTTTGAAAAATAAAAGTCACACTCCAGTTATTCACCACTTTGGAAATATACTTCAAGATGGGTTACCCTTTGCTTTTTTATATTATTCCTCACAATATTTTCTTTATTAACTATGTAGAGAGTAACAAGTCAGCTGTCTTTGAAAACTATGAAATATATAGAAATAAATTTACCAAATATTGTCATGACACCTATTTTTTTAAAAACTATTAAGCTTTACTGAAGGGCATTTTTTTTTACTTGAATGTACTTAGAGATATATCTTGTTTCTGGATGAAAGGACTCAATATTAGAATATGGCAGATGTTCCCAAATTTATAAACTTAATTCAGTTCTTACAAGATTCCTGGATTTGGAGGGAATATGACATTGATTCAACCAGTATTTGTTGTCCACCTGCCAGGTATCAGTAACCATACTAAGCTATAGCATAGATAATAAATAGACCAAGAGAATAAAAGAGCATGTCCAAAAACAAATATATTGACGATGTCTTTGTAAATGTTATGGGGCTGGGGTAGGGCATAGTAAAGGTGGCACTTCACTTCAGTGTGTAAAGAAAGGATAGATTATTCAAGAAATGTTTTGAAATAATTGGCTTTTTTGGAAAAATACTTCGACCTTTACAGATATGCAAAAATAAATTCTGGGTGGAATAAAGATCTAATCATAAAATATAGAACTATAAAATATTAAAAGAAAAAAGAAGGATATTTGTGTAATCTTGATATAGGAAAGGCCTTAAGCAAAACACAATCTGGAAGTCATCAAAGAAAAAATTACTATATTGTACTACAGCAAAATAAATACATTTCTGTTGATCACAATATACCATTATATACTGGTTAACTATAAGTTTAATGGATATCAGAAAGACTGGAAAAACTCTGCAACATATATAACAAAGAACAAAATAACATAATCCTTCATATATAAAGAGCTCCTATAAATTGATAGGAAAAAGATGAGTGACCTCTAAGAAAATAAAGTATATGAACAAGCGATACACAAAATAAGATACATAAATGACCTAACATATGAAACTTAACTTCATCAGCCATCAAATAAATGCAAATTTAAAAATTCATTTAGATTTTGGCAGTTAGCTTTTCAATTTGATAAAGATTTAAAAGATTCATAATAATGCTGCTGGTAAATGGAGTAGGAAAACAGACATATACTCTTGGTGGGTGTGTTAATTGCTAGTGTATTGCTGACTTTCTGGAGATAGTGTGGCACTATTATCAAAAATTAAAATGTATATAATCGTTAATCCAGTTATTTTACATCTAGGAATTTGTGTCTAGGAAACACCACAAGGGTGTATGATCCTAGTTGTATGCATAAGGGTGCTAATCACAGCATGCTTATAATTGCACACACACACAAAAAGGAAATATCCCATATTCCCATCAGTGAAGGATTATAAGCAAGGAGTGATTATCAGCAAGGATTTGTTAAACAAATCATAATGCCCATATGCCCATCAGTAGGGGACTTGGGTTGAACTAATTGTGGCATGTCCATTATAGAAAACCAACTATGCAGCTATCGAGAAAGAAGCACGTTTACTGGTATATAAACCGATATGGAAACATCTGTATGACACATTGTTAAGCCTTTAAAAAATCAAATCTCAAAATAATATGTATAGTGTGATATCACTTGTATTTAAAAAGGAAACTAAATGTGTGTGTAGTTTATTTTAAATTTAATTTAAAACATAATTGAGATTGTGGTACATTATCTATAATCTCTGTTTTTCAATTCAGTAGTCCATCATGGACTTCGACCCATGTCAGTGCATATAGGTCTACTTCATCCTTTTTGGTAGATCTATAGTTATTAACATTGTGTTTGTTTTAAAATGCTTTGTGTGTATATGCATAGTGTATATATAAGAGGCAAAATTCAGGAAGAATATCCACACAACTTAACAAAGGTTACACTGAGGACTTTATTTACAAGAGCACTTTGTAAAGGAGAGCACTTTCTTTATACTAGTGGATTGATTTTTCTCAAGTGTAGGTATATACTTAGCAAAGACAATAAAAATACTTCTTTTTAAGGAAGAAAAAGTTTAAAAATGAATGTTTATAGAAAGTGTAATCCTGGAAAACTCTCCAAAACCTCTTTAAAACTTGACAGATCCATAGCTTTTGAATTTACTTTTGCAGTAAGGAACAAAAGGATGGGAAAAGAACAGAGAAAAGGAATCAGAAGGAGGTTTTCAAAGGGAAAGAGGTATGAATGAAATTAATAGCAACTTGCAGAATTCAGTTAGCACCCTGATCTCTGCTTATAGTGTGTTTGTTCTTCAGTTTTTTATTTCATGTTTTCACCACAAAGAATATTATTCTCAGTAGAAATACATTGATGCTTTTTCTTCATGACCAGAGAAAGCACCACAAATAAGCAAATGCATTAATTTTATAACATCTTGAAGTTTCATTTTGTCAGTCAACTGTTTATTATGTCAAACCATCTTTCCCAAACTCCTGTTAAACAGACAGTTTTGAATTCACATGTTACAGTGTGAAGAAAACCACATTTTTTAGACTATTTTTTAGAGCAGTTCTAGATTCACAACAAAATTAAGGGGAAGGAATGTAGATTTCCTATACACTCCCTGCCCCGACACATGGATAGTCTTCCCCATTTTCAGCGTCCCTCACTAGAATTGTACATGCATTACAATTGATTAGCCTGTATTAACACATTGTCATCACCCAAAGTCCACAGTTTACATTAGGATTCACTCTTGGTACTGTACTTAACTATACAGCTTTTAGCCTTTTACGTGATGCAAATAGTTTTTCATATAAGATTTAGAAAATGGGGCTTTGTGTTATATGACCTAGAGATTTATATCTTTAGTATTGATTCTGACCTGGATGTTCTTATAAAATACCTAACAAAATTTTTAATATTTTTATTTTAACTTTTTAAAATATGTTATTTGATTTACTTTTTGTTTTAATTAGGTAACTGGGAAAAAGGCATATGCTACAAGTCAGCAAATTTATGAAGCAGTTAAATCATTGTGGACAAAAAACAACAAAGAAGAGTTATTTCCTGAACGTAAAGAAAAAATTAAGGTAGAATTTAAATGAACCAAAAATGTAGACATTGAAAGGTTTCTATGGGGAAAGAGGTTTGGCTTGTCATGGGAATCCTAGATAGGCTGAGGATAGAATAAAAGGAAATGAAGAAACATAATATCTTTGCATGCTAGAATTTTGGGGGGTATTTTTTTTCTTTTAGTAAAATGATTTACTTATGAAGGAAAAATCTTTTTGATAAACAGCTAGGAAATTTTGCTGAAATGGAAATCCCTGCAAAAACAACTCATGACCTGAAACCCTCAGTGCCTTTGCCAAAAGAACTCAGCTATGAAACAAAGACCAACTCAGAATCCACCTCAGGTTTGTTCAGAGTAATTCAATTTTGTTTTCATTCTTTTCTTAAATAATTTTATAGTATTATAATCAGCAGTTTGAATTTATGTATGTGTTTTCTTTATAAATGTTTTATCTTATATCTATAGTCTGTTTACCAGTTTAGATTCTGAGGTACTAAGGTACCTGGTACTTTTTCTAATTGCCATATAGTTCATAATACAGATACTTTGTATATGGGGTTATAGAATATCACTGGCAGTTGGGTAACTGAAGCATTTAATATCACTTTATAAACGTGAGTTTTTTAATTAAATGGAGGAAAATGTACCTTCCTGGATTCTATCAATGTATAGGCTGTAAGTGTGAGTCACATCTGTATAGAAATACCATCTTTCCATTTCTTGTACTACTTACCCTATCAGTCTTAGCTTCCACCATCAGTTTTATTTAGTTTTTCTACTGGGAGAACTTTCAACACCAAATAGTTAAAATAGCATCAATTATAATACTTAATAATTTTGCTAGTATTAGGTACTGGCAATACTTTGTGGGAACAAATAGTGACAATTATACTTTCTAGGTAAATACTTCTATGGTTTTACTGTAATCAAAAAGCAGGTAACTTGATCCCCAATTTCTCACCTGATGGCCCCCCTGTGACTCTGCCTGTCTTAGGTTGTTCCTCCCTTGAGGAATCTTACCCGTCTCTGGCTAACCAGTCATCTTCTGGGGCCATACAGGGAAATGTGAAGTTGGTAAGTGAGAAACAAGCAATATTGCTTGAAAAGGTTAGCTTTTTACTTCTTTGCAGATTTATGCCCTGTGGCTTCTATGCCCAGCATTTGTCTTGAGGTATCTTTACAAAATCAAACAAATAAGCATATCTGACTTGATTGTTTATAGTTCATGATGCATGATCAAAACCGAAAGTTTCTGTGATATGACTGCCCTTGCACTGTTCACCATGTAAGAACTTATTCATTATGTAAGACCTTGTTCACCATGTAAGAACTTGCTCGTTATGCTTCAGAAGATTGGAGACTGTTGAGAATTAGGCTTGGGGTTGATTAATGATTGCATTGAGTCCCCTATACAGAATTTTATTGTTGTTAACAACCATTTGATCAATAAATATAAGAGATGCCCTCTCAAAAAAAAAAAAAGCAGGTAACAGAGTGTTTACTGTTTCAATAGTGTATTCCCATAAACTCAGCAGCCACTGGCTTACACAGGTTTGTCTATCTGTACAATGTGAATGGTACTACCCATTAAGTTGTTTTATTGCAAAGGAAATAGGACCAAAACACAGGTAGAGAATTCGCAAATAATGATAATATCTGTACTTTATTGAGCACCTACTGTGGTGTAAAGAGCTGTAAGTATATTATATTATTCAGTCCTCACGCAAAAACCAAAACAAACAAGAAAAAACTTTGGTCTTTATGTAATTACAATCATTTTTTGATGAAAACACTGACACTCAGAGAGCTTAAGTAACTTGCCCCAAATCATACAACTTATGAGTAGCAAAGTTGTGTTTATAGTCTAGATAATCCTGACACCAAAAGCCCAAGCTCTTTCCATTCTGTATAGATTAATTTAAAACCAGAGTTCAGTCTCTAATTTCAGCCTCCTTATGTTTCACTTAATCGTCATAAAAGCTGTCACTGAGTAACAAACCTGATTTGAGTTTTACTATTGAAAAATCAAAAACTCTAGAGACCAAGAGATCTGTGAAATAGAGCCTTTCCAGATGCTAACCAGAAAAAGGACTAGTCCTGGGAGAGGAAGTTTCTGTTCAGCAGCAGCAAGGCCAGTTAACAGAAACAACTTGTCCACTAGACATAAGAAACAGGACACATTTATAAGGGGTCTTAAGGAAAGAAAGTTCTTTAAATTCACATTTAAAAAGGTGGGCTAATGCAAAATGGGAAAGTTCAGGGGTAGGTGATTAGTCCATAGAGTAGGCTCATAGATTTTGTGTCGAGGATGGTCAGGCACTGTTCATCCACAAGGGAGACGCAGTGGTTCTGGGGACCGTCTAGATAATTGTTGAAATGGCTTCATCCAGTGTCATGGAGTTTCTATTTAGCTATGGCCCTTGGCTATTGATTGATTATCTTACTTTGTCCTTTACCTCATTCTCTGGCCGTTATGTCACTTAATTTTAGGACATTTCAGAATTTTTCCTTTTCGCTATTTTTTCTGTCACCTATCCTTTCTAATCAAGGTAAGTTATACAGTTTTTAGGGTCTTTCTGAGTAATCCACAGTTGACCGTATCCCCACAAGTATATAATATATCCACTCATTTTTCTAAATGCCTGTCAATTCCAGAGTATCTTTGTGGAGATGAAACATGTTACAGCTTAACAGTGGGACCAAACCATCTCTAGCCAGTGTCTTTTCTTCACACACAGTGATTCTGGAACACTACCTGCCCATCATGGGTAATGTAGTATATGAAAAGCATTAAAAGGAGATATGTAGAGAGAAAGATGCCAGTGCTGTTCATCCTTATCATGTATCATTCAGAGTTGATTATACAGTACTCAGGATTCACCATTTCCATAGTTTATATGCAATACCAAAGGTCCAAGATACAGGAAACAGGTGTGATTATGAGCACAGATTTTAGAACAAGATCTGAATCTGAGTCCTAGATACATTTAGTAGTTCTATTGCCTGGGGCAAGTTATCTAATACCGCAAGTCTCAATCTCTTCATCCACTAAAGGGAGACAATAATAGTGTCTTTCTCATATGGTTGTAATGAGGATCAAATGAGATATTGCACTAAAGCACAAAGTACAGTGTCGAGGACATACAGAGTTCTCAATGAGTGTTAGAAGATATCATTTGCCTAAGTAATCAGCCATTTGGCTGGTAAAGAAATAGATTTTCATTGAGAACAAACTTTGGGAGTATATTACTTAGCTAAGGAACCTAGCCATAGCCATCACTTATCACCATACAGCATAGGTTGGATGTACTGTCCAACTATATATACTGTGGCTCTGAATATGAGTTTGGTTGTTCTTTATCATCCATATACGTTTATGGCAAGAATTATTATTTGGGGAATCACAAATTTAGAAATTTGGGGACATGGACCTTTTCAAAACCTGATGAAAGCAGAATGAAATCTCTCACGGTCCTACAGGATTCATGCCCCTCTAAAGCAGAGGTTGGCAACTTGTGGCTCTTGTGCCAAATCTGGCTCACCACTTTTTATACATTCCACAAGCCAAGAATGGTTTCTAAGTGATTTACATAGTTGAAAGAATCAAAAGATAACTATTTTATAACAAGTGAAAATCATACGAAATTCAAATCTCTGCCCATAAATGAAATTTTATTGGAACACAGCCACACACATTCATTTATGTTATTGTCTCTGGCTGTTTTTGCACAGCTTAACAGTTGCACTAGAGGCTTTACAAAATTTTTTACAAAAACAAACCTTTTCAAAGTTCAAAATATTTATTTTGGCCCTTTGCAGAAAAAGTTTGCTGATTCCTGTTATAGAGGTATAAAGTGTGCCATACATAAATGGACTCATCATCCTCATGATTTTTGCTGGATTTTTTTATGGGTCAGGACACTAAACAGCCAAGCTCAAAATCTCTAAAGGGCAAAACCAAATTTCCTACAGTCTTTCAGTATAAGGGAGACCAAAACTCATCAAGCTCTCAGTCATAAGCTTGGGAGTGCCATACCTGAGGAACAGGGAGGAACCAGTTGACTGACTCTTTCTGAAACTGTAACTCAGCTCACTGCCTGATTGGACTGAGATGATGAACACTTCACCCTTCCTAAAAAAGGAAAAGGGGCCCCTCTCTTGTGGAGGATATCATCTGGAGCTTCTATAATTCTTATATACACAATTTCTACCATATAGACAAATAAAATACTAATCATGCAAAAAGGCAGGAAGGTTGACTGACAATCAAAAGAGAAAAGAAATAGTAACAGCAGACCCACAGGTGATCTAAATATTGAATTAAAAGAAAAGGACTTTATGACTAGTATTTTAATTAGAAAAAATGATAAAGTGGATAGAAAATGGAGAATTTCACAGAAAATAAGAATCTATTAAAAAGTGAAGGGTAATCTAAAAGTAAATAAAAACAGTATCTGAAATTAACTCATTGGATGGGTTTAACAGCAGACTGTATACAAAAGAGGACAGAAGTAATGAACTCAAATACAGGTCAATAGACAATAGACAAACTGAATTACAGAGAGAAAAAAGAATGAAAAGATTAGAACAAAGTATGAGAATTATACTTTGTAATTTGATACAGTGATTAGTATCTTTAAGTGTTTCAATTACTCAGAAGCTGAGTATCATCCCAACTTTATACAAAAGAAACAAAAATAGAATTCCTAACAATCCTAACTTCACTGAGCAGTTTGTGATCTGTCCCAATTTTTGTACCCAACTTGCTTGAAATATAAATGAGATAATGTGTGAACTAAATTCTTAATGAACAGATATCACCTAATGGCTATTTGAGATAATAATTCATTGCTGTTTTATAACTGTAAACGTCTTTATTCCCTTTTTGGTTTTTGTAACACCAACTTTTTTAAAAGTCTGCTAAAAACCTTTAAACATGAAATGTTTTTATGAGAGATTAAAAATATGATAAAGTGCAAAGAAAAGCATTACAATGAGTAGGGGAGATTCAAGAAAAGTTATACAACTGCAATTCCTTTGGGAGGATAGAGAGCCCTGAATCATCTCAGGGGGTAAAGAAATTTCTAAGAGGAAAGATAGAATCCTTAATTACTCAGAAAATCATGAGATGAATCTTTTTTAAAAGGCAGAAATCAGATGGCCTAGGCTAAGTGGTTCTAAACCACAGGGATCCACATCACAATTAACTTGAGTTTTTTTTCCCCCTCAAATTCACTCTACCTGAGAAATTTGTAGAGGTGAGGGCCACAAGCAGGTGAATTGTAGGAAAAACTCCACAGGCAATTCTCATGTATATTCCTCTAGTTAATAATGTCTGACATAAGCTATGAATAAATCAAAAACTTCAAACCTCTCAATAGATTTTGAGAGGTAGAGATCTAAAAGCAAAGGAGCCTTCAAATTTGGATGGGCTGAATCTTTGACCGGACTTTGGACAAGGATATAAATTAAGGAAGTGAGTAAAAGTGTTAGAGAACTTAGTCAAATGGTGGACATTGTTAAGGAAATTATACACATTCCGACTTATATAAAATAATCGTTTTGTCACATGCTAACCATAATGATATGTTTGATTAAAAACTACTTTCATAGTACACTTTCCACTTGTACTGAGCAAAGGATTCCACCAGATGGCAGTAAACATACACTTGAGAAAGGAGCAGGCAAAATCTGTTAAACCTTTTTAGTGTGCCACGGATCCCTTTGCAGACTGTTTTAAAAGCGTAAAATAAAATGCATAGTAATATGGGAGTTTCCGCAAATATATTACATAGCGATATCTAACAACATATCTAATAAAGGCAATAGTTTGAAGTAGTAGCAATTGTAAATATTTCAAAACATTTATAATTATAGTGTGGTATGAAAATATCTGTGATTTCTATTAGTGACAAAAGCTAAGGTACTGCTATACTGTTGTGGTTTGTTGCCTACATTCATTATTGAAGAGGATGTTAATTGTCAGCCAGAGATTAATGAAAATAAAGGCAAATTTCCCCTATCCAAGTTCATTGATCACATGGATTCTATCCACAGACCCCCAAAGGGATCCCAGACTAAGGTTCTCTATCCTGTGGAGAACTGTATTAGTGTCATGGGTAGTGGTTACTTATGACCTGGTTGTTTAACATATTTGATGGTGAAATTATACATAGATATATCACTCTTTATAAAATAGGAAATGTTTCTGAAAAGATAGGTATAAAAGAAATCATTGTGTGTAAATCTGTGTCTCCCCTTAATTTTCGTCATAAAATTGGTAGTTAAATTTTATGGAAGAAAAGTGTGTCTTCCAAATATGATAAAATTATTTAAAAATAGGTTTGAAAAACCTTTCAAATAAAATTTTCTGAAAAAATATTTTTAGTCTTGTCACAAAATAAAGTTTTTTCTGGCCTACTTACCAATGCACAGTGTATTATATGCAGCATTTTGTGCATATTATTATATTGAATACTGAAAAATTTGTGTCATTGTTACTACTCTCACCCCCATTTTACAGAAGAGCCATGTTGTGTTGAGAAGTCAGACAAAACTGGGTTCAATCCTGGCTCTATCACTTATCAGTTTAGTGACACTGGTTCAGTTTCTTACCTCTCTAAGTAAATATGTCCTTATCTGTAAAACAAGGACAATATAAAAATACCATGTGTCTCTTAGTGATATTGTGAGATAATGCATGAAAATAATAAAGCATCTTGACTGGCACACAGTTAACAAGATCACCATTGATCCACACATTGCCAAACTAAGGAGTCCAGTGTTAGTCCCCATTTTATGTAATCCCATCAGAAACTTTTAACACAGGTAATTACTTCTTCCTCCTTGAAACAGTCCCTTCACTAGGCCTGTGGGGAACTACTTGTTCTTGATTCTCTTATCTCTCTGACTGGCTGTTCCTTCTCATTCTTCTCTGCTACAGCCTCTTAATTTTCACAACCTCAAAATGTTGGTGTATTCAAAGGGCTCATTCTTTGGACTTCTTTTCTGATGGTCTATATGTTCTCATATAGTCCCACAGTTTTAAATGCCATATATAGGCTAGGACTATAACATTTATAACCAGCCCAGACCTCTCCTGAACTTACAGACTCACATTTCTAGCTGAGAACATTTGTACTCAGATGTCTAGTTAGCAATTCAAATTTAACACATCCAAAATTTAACACTTCACTTGCCTTCCCACAAACATGCTTCTCTAGCATTTTTCCCTATCTCAGTAAATGTCAACTCTATTCGTCCAATTTCTCAAGTTAAAGAGTCTCTCTCACTCAACATAGTGAGCCCATGTAGGAAGTCTTGTCCATTCTACGTTCAGAGGTTTTCCAGAATCCAGTCCCTTTTCACCACCTCTGCTGTTACTGCCCTTAGTTGAAGCCATCAGCATCTCTCTCCTGAAGCACTGAAACAGCTTACCAACTGGTCTCCCTGCTTCCATCCTTGTTCCCCTATAGTCACTTCTCCCCATAGCCAAGAGTGATCTTATGGAAAACATATGTTACTCTCCTGCTCAAAACTGTCCAGTAGCTTCTCATTGCACTAAAAAAAAAAAACACCTTACCACAGCCCTATGTGGCCTAGCCTTCCTTTGTTTGGTGATCATGTCTCCTGTCAGTCTCACTGAACCCACCATCACTGGGGTCCTCCCTTCATTGTTCCAGCCATACTGGCCATTGTGTGACTCCTCAGACATGCCTCAGGTTCATTATACTTACCATCTGCTCCTCTTATAAGGCATTTTCTCCAGATAGCTATAGGACTCACACCCTCACCTCCTTCAGTTTTTTGCTCTGATATCACCTTTCTAGAAGGCTTTCCCTGGCCACCATATTTAAAGTTGCAAATCACCCAAGGACTCCATATGCCCCTCTGTTTTATTTTTCTGCAAAACACACCACCATCTGATATATATGTTACTTAATTTATTGTTAGTTTCACCCAACTTGAATTTTAGCTGCATGTTGGCAGAGATTTTTATGTGTTTTATTCACTGATGTATTTATTCCCAGTACCAACAATAAATTTGTTAAATGAATTACTAATTTTTTTCATTTTAATACTTTATCAGGTACCACACAGTTTATGCGTGACCCCAAGCTCATGGATCACGGGCAGTCCCATCCAGAAGATGTAGATATGTACAGCACTAGAAGCTGAAATAGTCTGCATAGAGAGCAACAAGATGTGTGAAGTTGCAAATAATGGTGAAAATATCATGTGATGGGTAACTTTGATGCATAGAGTATAACTTAAACCAAGATTTTCCCTTACATCTTCCAATGTTCAGTTTGACCAGTCACATAAATGATTAAAACACAAACTGAATACAATCCAAATAATATTTAAAAACTGACAAGGAGGCAGAAGTAGATATATTATAATGCATTTGATGATTTTCAAGAGTGTTTATAAAAAACAAAAAAAACAGCAAATGTATAAACACTGATGAGACTAAAATCTGAAAAATGTAGGTATATGTATATATATAAATATTTATACATATACATGTATATTTGCTTCAACTTTTCCAAATTAATGTCAGCTAAATTAAAATGGTGTGTGGATGGATGTGTTCCCTCACCCCTGTACCTTCTCCCTTTTTTTGATTTTCCAGAGCTGGAATAAAATATCCATATTTTATGACAGTTGGGCTTGGCCTTGTCTTTTTGATTTATTAATGTTACCTCCTATTAAATGTCCCAAAACATCTCAAACTATTTAAGTGGACTGGCTACATGGGATCCCCAATGCTGCTTAGCAACCCTACTACTAATTCCCAGATGGTTTTCCTGTTCTGTTCCGCAGGAGAGGTATTACAAACCTTTAATTCTTAAGCCTTCTATACCTGCCAAAGATGACTGTGTCTCCTATTACATAGTGGGGAAAAAAACAAGTTATTAGACATGACCATTCCCAATTTCTCCCCTTCTACCTTCAAGACTTACCTCTTTTCAGCCAGGCATCCCCATATTCTAAGACTAATGCTTCTATTTATGTTCCTGGTCTCATTCTTTCCCATCTTTTCCAGTATTATATCCCATCTTTTTTAATCTTCAGTGTTTCATTTCTCTTTTCATTCTTTTTTCCTCAACCTTTAAATAGCTTCACGTCTTTATCCAAAAACATCAGTAACAAAAGTCTCTACCTAACCATGCCTCTTCCTCTCAAGCTATCTTTTCTTTCTCCTTCCTATGACTTCCATAATTCATAAAAAATTAATTAATGTCATTTTCTTCTTCATTTTCAATTTCTCTCTTAACTTGCGATACTCTGGCCTCTATATGAGTTTTCTGTAATTATGGACTCTTCACTACTACCTCCTTGAAACTCATTCTTCCCTCTGCTCTGCTATTCATGCTTGTCTGACTCTTTATTCTTTTCTTGCTCTGAATCCCTTAAATGCTGAGGCTCCTCAGGTTGCATTCCTAGCCTTTTTCCCATTCTATATGCTCTCTCATTTTCATTCAACATACTTCACTGGCTTCAGACACCACTTGTATGTCCTTTTTTTTCCTTACTTCTAACACCCATACATCTCCAGAGCTGTAGACCTATCCTTTTTATTAGTTGTATCCACTGTACATCCCATAGGTATCCTCAGTGTCATTATGCATCAAACTAAATTGCCTTTACCTCTCTCTTCTTAATTTATATGGTTTTCCAAATCTATTCTACCTCCTGTAATCTTGCTCTCATTCAAATATTCATTATCACTTTCCTGGAATATTACAGTAAGTCTTCTGGTCAATCTGCCTGCCATTAGCCTTGCTTTCTATCTCTTCAGAATGAGTTCTGCTTGTAAATAACAGTAAACCAGTTAACAATAGTTTAAATAAACCTATGTAAAGTCTGAAATTAGGCACCATAGGGTTGGTACAGTGGCTAATCAAAGACCTAGACATTTTCTCTGATTCCTTTTTATTAGAAGAGTAAACACTTTCTTAGATCCCCTCTCAGAAGATTTATATCTACATCTTGACCAATCTTACATAGCCACACTCAGCTCAAGATTGGCAAACCATAGTTTTTTCTATGGTAAGGAAGGCAAAGGGGTAAGGGATTTAGAATTGTGTTGAGTTTGAGCTAACATACAGCATCTGCTACCATATTCTTGTAACATGTGTCATATGACATAGTTGTCTTTCTAACAACTTTTATGGATGGATAGTTGTCTTCCTGAAATTTTCAGTGGTTCATCATTGCCTACAGAATCAAATCAAGACTGTAGTGTGACATACAAGGTACTTCATATATGATCCTAGCTCAATGTTAATCCTGTCTTCCCTTTCCCCCCTCACCCTACTGCCAAGGTATATTATCTATAACATACCACTTGCTTCTTGAACATGCTTCGTACTTTTATATCTCTTTTTCTCTGCCTATCCTAATGTTTCCTCTTAGAAATTTTTTTGCCTTATCCGGTTCCCCATCCCAACTTCCTATTCATTCTTCATACCCAATTCCAATGTCACCTTTCTCAATTCTCTAGGGTGAGATTTAGATGTTCTTTCCTCTGTTCTCTTACACTTGATATGTATAGCTGTGATAGCACATACAATTTACTATAAAACAAAAACTGGTATTTTTTTCACAGATGAGGCTCCTTGTGGGTATGACTGAATCATCTTTGTGTAGCTTTGATGCCCAAGAAATGCCTGGTACATAGTAATAGGAGCTCACATGTTCTACTTTGCCAATTATAACAGGATGCAAAAATAATTATAATTCTATCAATGGGCATATATTCTACCAGAGAGGATGGAAACATATAAAATACAGTGTTATATGTAGTATATTCCCTAAGATAAGTACAACCAAAGACCTGTAGATGCTCAGAGATGGAATGTAGTTCTGGGTTGATATCAAGGAGGCAGTGGTACTTGAGCTGCTCAAGGTGAGGAAGCAGTTCACTTACTAGGTTTTCATAAGTAAGCTCTTTAAAATTTAACTTCAATATTTATTTTTATGTTGCCCATAGGAAATCATTTAATTTTTTTCCTTTTTTTAAATTTTGGTATCATTAATATACAATTACGTGAGCAACATTGTGGTTACTAGATTCCCCCCATTATCAAGTCACCATAACTTCAATATTTTAAATGAATTTTTTGTACCTTAGGTCTGTTTATAATTAAACATCCATATTTCATCAAATATAAGACATTTACCTCTAAGAAAGAAGTACTGATCAGTATACTTATCCCAATTTCAGATATGTTAGGATGTAAACATATAAGCATCTTAAATTTAGTGAGATGACAAGTAAAAAAATAAGTATCATAAAGCCAAGTATAAGTGATTTTTGAATTATCTGCTGTTTTGGATCATCAGCTCTGCTATTAGCCATTGGCATATTAGTTTGATAAAGGAGAGTTGACTATCTGCAAAACCTGTTTCAGTGTGAAAGATCTGCTCACACCAGAGTTTGATCACTTGCTGTATTGCACAACACTCAAAGTCAAATTGCTGTTGGGCTCAGGTGACATTGAAATGTTGGAGCCTATGTTGGGACAAGTTATGATGAGTTAATCCTTCACTCTTCCCTTGCCATGTTCATGAGTTCTTCTCTGTTAAACCTGAACAGATGCCAGCCCTCCTCGGAGGAAAGGTCTAAAGCCCCTCGGCGAGTTTAATAGTCAATAGAAGCCTGGTTCCAAATGATGACAAGAAAGTGCATGCAGTTACAGTGGCTTCTGATGGCTATCTGTTTAAAAACAGAGATGACTTTTATTTGAAAGTCTATTCTTCATTAACACATTCATGTTATTAAAGGTCTAAAAGCAAGGCACTGTGTGTGTATAATACTTCCAAATAATAATACAACAGTTACCTCTTGGACTTCTAAGCTTTAAAAAAGAAAAAGGTCCTTCTGTTGAGTTTTAAAACCCTTTGTTTAAAAGTCCAAAAATGATGCAAAGTCCACTCATTGGCAATTCTATAAATCCAATTCACTTTTTGTTCTTTATTATTATTCTAGAAAAAGTTTACCAAAGTTTGTCATATGTATTTCCAAAGTGCAAAAGTATCTTGTTTTTATACTATTCTCATATTTATGCTGTGGACCTATTTTATGGGGAAAATTGGCTTCGAATCTCCCTCTTGCTTTTGCTTTTTAACAAAAAGGAATATAGAGTGGTTGTGGATTATATAGAAATCAATTTTTAATTAAATGTAGCTCAAATATAGCTGACATGAGTATCTTATTTGAATAACTTATTTGGAATTTAAAAATTAAGTATATTTTGAGATTATGTTTGAATTGTGAGATAAATTATTGAATTTATACCGTGTTAAATAACAATGTTTGATAAAGAAAAGGATAACATATAGAATACCACTACTAGTTGTAATACATACCTAACTTAGTCTCTTCAGCATTTCAGCTCCAGTACCTAGACTTTTTAAATAGCTAATGCAAAATGAAAAACTGTAAGTTGAAAAATTCCACTTAACAAGTTATTTGCTTTAGTTTAAAAGATATAAAATATAAAAGCCTGTATCTGGTTGTTACATATTCTTAATAGTTTGTGTTAAAACTCACCTCATGAATGGTTTTCATCTCTCTCCCGACTGGAATGTAGTTCCAAAAGTAATGGAAAATATTTTGGATTTATTTTTAAGATCAGCAAAGAGGAATTAAGTCCCTGTCACTATCATCACAGAGTATATTGCATATTAATTTCTAGACAAACCAACCGAAAATATAAAGGCATTTTTTTTTAAGATAAAAGGATAGCTATAACTTGGCTTATCCAAGCCCTGATGGAAACTAATGAAAAAAATCTTTTTCTAATTTCTGATTGAGTTTTCACCACATGCAGTGATAACTATGATAATGATCAGGCTCATGAAATTGAAATGAGTTGCATGAACTAACTTTAATACCATATTTATACTAAAACCATAAATGTATACATAAAATATGCCATTTACATTTTTAAAATATAAGTAATACTATTAATTGAAACTTGACCTCAATAAGCTTATATGACATAAAAGTCCTCTAGGTAAAGTAACTTGCCAATCCAGGGGTCGTATGTAAAGTACTACATGGAAAATCCAATAGTCACTTGGCCTAGGAAGAGGGAAGAGAGGGTACAAAGAGGTTAATGCTCTGAATCTTAAAATGCTCTTCCCTCCAGAATTGAATATCTTTTTATTTTTTTAACTATTAAAGTCATAAAAGCTCAATGGACAAAGTTTCAAACAATACAGAATTATATAATGTAGAAGGTTTAATTATCTTATAATACAACCTATAAGAGATAAGTCACCTTTTAAAAGTGTGGAGTATATATTCTTCCGAAACTTTTCTTCCATGTATATACAAAGTGCATACCACACATTTTCTTTTTTAAAAAAATGAAACAGTTTATACACTTGTAACCTTTTCTTCTGCTAAGTAGTAATTATATACTATCAAACTGTACTTTGTTTTCAGGGTAGGAGAAATATACTACACATTAAACTGGAGGAGGAAGATTTATTTTACCTGATGGCTTTTGTTGATTGTGTATTTCTATAGTCAGACAGTTGAAAAGGGGATTGTCCCCAAAGCCATCCCTCAGTAAATCTGAAATATCAATTCACATGCAATATGTTAGAAAGTTTACATAAAAGAGAAGGCAGATGCTAGAGGTTATTTGAATACTTGCAACTTCCAGAGGGCAGTTTGACTGATAAATTGCACTTAAATTTGGTCAATTAGCCATCAGCCCAGTGGCAACTTCAAAACTCCACCACCCCTTACCTCATGTCAGACAGCTGTGTGGACAGCATCATGAATTTCTGGAGTGATTTGCTGTAGCCAGGGTAGGCAATAAGGAACTTATCCTCTAAATATTGGAATTCTGTGTTCTGATCATGGATTGCCACTCTGAATGCTTAGGTGAGAGCTTGAAGTTGGCCATCATTTTTCCAACCTCCACCATCTAAAGCAGCTTCCAGTAGATTTAAAGTAACCAGACCTATTTTTTTAGACCTTCAAAAACAACCGTACATAGGAAAATCTGGAAAGCTACCATGCATGATGAGGTAAAGACACACACCTAGAAAAAATCTAACACTAAACATTCAGATCAGGCTGCTCTCTGACACAGAGATGCCCCACAACAATCGCAAAAACAACTATCTCTTGGAAAGGGGGAAAAGTTTCTTTCCACAGTAAACACGTTCTAAGATTCAATGGTCCAGTTTTCAACAATAACAAAATCATAACTTATTCACTATGTAAGAACTTGTTCACCATGTAAGAACTTGTTCGTTATGCTTCAGAAGATTGGAGACTGTTGAGAATTAGGCTTGGGGTTGATTAATGATTGTGCATTGAGTCCCCTATATAGAATTTTATTGTTGTTAACAACCATTTGATCAATAAATATGAGAGATGCCTTCTCAAAAAAAAAATCATAAGACATACAAAGAAATTAGAAAGCATGGCTCATTCAAAGGAATGAAGTATATCAACAGAAAACATGCCTAAGGAAGTCCAGATGTCAGAACTACTAGACAAAAACTTTACAATAACTGTCTAAAGGTGTTCAAAGAGCTAAAGGAAGACATGCACAACAATAGAAAGAAGATGTCTGAACAAAATAAGACTTAATAAAGAGATATAAAAAAGAAACCCCACCAAAAAATTAGGAACCTGGAAAGTATACTAACTGAAATAATGAATGTACTATAGAACTTCAAAATCAGAATTTAGTAAGCCTGAGGAACAAAGAAAAACAAAACTAAACGGAGCCTAAGGGGTCTGTGGAACACCATCAGGTGGACCATACGGGAGTCTCAGAATGAGAAAAAAAGAGGTAAAAACTTTGAAGAACTGATGACTGAAAATTTCCCAAATTTGATGCGAGAACACGAAACTAAAAATCCAAGTTCAACAAACTTCAAATAGGATAAGCCCACCCAAAAAGATTGACACCAAGACACATAATCAAACTGTTGAAAGATGAAGACAAAAAGAAAATCCTGAAATCTTCAAGAAAGAATATCACATACAATGGCTCAATAGGATTATCATCTGATTTCTCATCAGAAACCTCACAGACCAGAAGGCAGTGGGGTTGATAGATTCATAGTGCTAGGGCTTGGGGGGAAACCTGTCAAGCAATAATTCTGTGTCCACCAAAACTGTCTTTCAAAAATGATGGAGAAATTAAGATCCCCAGATACCCTCCACCACCAAAAAGATCCCTGGAGGGCTGTAATTATCACTAGCTCTGCCCTGTATAATATGCTAAAAGTAGTCAGTCCTTCAGGTTGAAATGAAAGGAAGCTAGATAGTAACTCAAAACCACATGAAGAAATAACGATAAAGGCAAAGGTACCAAGTTAGAGGTAATTACATGGGCAATTATAAGAACTAGGTTTATTTTAATTTTGTTTCTAACTTTTTTATTTTCTACATGATTTAAAAGACAAGTGAATAAAATTAGTTATTAATGTATGTTATTGGTACAATTATAAATATGTAATCTCTGACATCAACCTAAGAGGAGAATGGAGATGTAAAGAAGAGTTTTTGTATGATTCTGAAGTTAAGCTGGCATGAATTCAAATTAAATTGTTTTAACTTTAGGATATTAAGTATAATCCCCATGATAACAACAAAGAAAATATCTATAGAATATATACATAAGGAAACAGAGGAAATCAAAGCATTTCACTACAAAAATCAACTAACCACAAAAGAAGGTAGCAATGGAGGAAATAGGAGACCAAAAAAAGCTATATGGCATGTAGAAAACAAATAGTGAGATTACAGAGGTCAGTCCTTCATCAAAATGCTCTAATCAAAAGAAATTAACAGAATGGATTTAAAAAACTTTATTCAACTATATGCTGTCTATAAGAGACTTGCTTTAGATAAAACACACACAGACAAATCTTGATAGTAAAATAATGGGAAAAGACATTTCATGCAAATTGCAACCAAAAGAGAGCTCTGGTAGCTATACTAATATCAGACAAAATAGACTGTAAGTCAAAAACTGTTACAAAGGACAAAGAATATACTATATAATGATAAAAGGGTCAATTCACCAAGAAGATACAACATTTCTAATTATGTACCAAACATCAGAGTTCCAAAATATATGAAGTAAATATTGACAGAATTGAAGATACAGACAACTCTACAATAATAGGAAACTTCAATACCTCAATTTCAATAATGTATTGAACAACCAGACAAGATAAATAAGTTAACAGATTATTTGAGCAACACTATAGATGAATTGGATCTAACAAATGTACAGTATACTCCACTGAACAATATAATACACATTTTCCTCAAGTGCACAGGCAAATTTCTCTAGGATAAACCATATGTTAGGCCACATCTTAATAAATTTTGAGGGGGTGGAGCCAGGATGGCAGCGTGAGTAGAGCAGCAGAAATCTCCTCCCAAAACCACATATATCTATGAAAATATAACAAAGACAACTCTTCCTAAAATAGAGACCAGAGGACACAGGACAACATCCAGACCACATCCACACCTGCGAGAACCCAGTGCCTCGCAAAGGGGGTAAGATACAAGCCCCAGCCTGGCGGGTCCCGAGTGCCCCTCCCCCCAGCTCCTGGCGGGAGTAGAGAGGTCTGAGCGGGAGGGAGAAGGAACCCAGGACTGCTGAGCACCCAGCCCCAGCCATCTGGACCAGAGCACAGACAGTGCATGCGCGAGGCCCTGGATACTAGGGAAACAGGGCAGCAAGAATGGTGAGCGGGTACTGGAGGCCGGCGCCAGAGGACAAAAGCGAGCAGCCATTTTTTGTTGTTGTTGTTGTTGTTTTGTTGTGTGCTTTTTGGAAGTCTTAAAGGGACAGGGTCCCCAATACTAGGTAAACAGGGCAGCAAGAACAGCGATCTGGTATCAGAGACCGGCGCCAGAGAACAAAAGAAAGGCGAGCGGCCACCTTTTTTTCTTTTTTTCTTTTCCTTTTTTTTTCTATTGATTTGGCAAGCACTTGTTGGAAGTCTTAAAGGGATAGGGTCCCCAATACTAGGGAAACAGGGCAGGAAGTCCGGTGAGGGGTGCCCGAGGCGGGCACCGGAGAATAAAGAAAAATGAGCGGCCATTTTTTTTTTTTTTTTG